AAATCATTGATTTCCCATGTGGTATAATGCTATCTGATTGTGCGATTGACCAATCAGAGCCTTCCACGTGTGCATTAGGCTATTGTCTTCACGTGTAAGTGGCAATAATAGGAAGTGTTGAATGTAGTGAGGAAGTGAAATGACACCATTCAAATCCACTGATCAGTGTGTTTTATACTTAATTAAAAATTTCAAATTCAAATTTTGTATATAAAAAAAATCTTATTGAGAATGCTATCTCCAAGTGAATTTTGCAATGTACGACTTAAATTTAATTAAAAATTTAATATAAACTCTAAATATCCGATGAAAGGAAAAAAAAAGAAGTTATAGGATCGAAACAGACAAATCTAAGACTAACTGACCATTTACTTTTTGAATTTGACAATTGTAAGAATGATGGGAGTATGTGGATGGACCACTTCCTTAAGTGGGCCGACTTAGTTCAATTCTGCCCCAACTTTAAGACCCACTATGTTTATAGGCCCACAAGGAAGACTCCAAACCTAAGAATAAGAATTCTTTTACAAATAGTTATTCCGTTTGATTTATTTTGTTTTGATATTAATATAGTAGAAAGATTGATCTTAAATTTAAGAAAGAAGTATTAAAAATATTTTTAAATTCGGCATAAATTATTGATTTCATCTCCAAATTATTGACAGTTTTAAAGATACCTTTTTACTTGATTAACTGAAGTAAAATATAACACTATCTTTTAACATTAGTATAATACATCTTCAAATTCTCGCCAAGTTTAGGGTACTTCCTTTAACTTTTGTATTAAGAGTCTCATGCTTGTACAATAATTGAGATCGCTTGCTATTTCATGTGACATATCAGGTGCGTGTCTAAGTTTAGTAAATCAAGTAGAAACTTATTTATTATATTGTCAATATTTCGAGAAAAAAAACCCTGATAATTCACATCAAATTCATAGATGTTTTCAATACTTTTCTCTAAATTAAATAGATATCACAATTGTGTAATCTTATTATACTATGTAAAAGATTGAGATAAAAATTTATTAAAAAGATAAATATATTTTTTTTAAAACAAAGTAAAAAGAAATTGTAATAGATAAGAGTACAGTACTCTTGCCTAGCCTGTGTACTTTCCAATAATAATTTGCTGCTTCTCCAAGAGGAAAATATTTTTAATTTCCTACTTTTCTTAGAGTGATAGAATATAATTATAAATTTTTTAGAATAATATTCCTTTGAAATGAAGAAGAGACATATGAAATAATACTTGGTAGATTTGTGGTCCTTTGAAACAAATGTGTCCTTTTCTCTTCTTTAAGGATTGTAGTTTTATTTCCCCTCGACTCGATCTAGCTTATTTATAGTAGAGTGTATCAATTTTTTATTTTCTATTTTTGAAAAATAATTTCTCCTATTCCTTAAAACACTTATTTTCTCTAAAAATGTTTATATCTCATTTGTTAAAAATAATATTTTTAACCTCTCCAAAATTTGACAGTACTATAATCTATAATGTTAATATGATCGACGTTATCCTATAAAATGTGCAACTCATGTGAAATTATTTGTGGTATTTGATATAGTTGGGAAGTGTATTTGCATCAGTGAAATGATACTCACGTGATTTTCTTATTTGGATTTTTCAATACCTTCGCAAAAAGATGAGAAAATAAAGAAGACGATAATTATGACTTTAGTCATGTTATATTCGTGAGGTTGTTGTACATATAAAAATATTAAAATTATTTAAGTTATAGATATGCATATATTGTAACAAATATTATTACCTACTTTTTTAAAGATTAAATTTAAATTTAAATGACATATAGATAAATATATATTACATATGTCCAAGCAAAAATACTCCCTCTCTTTCACCTTTATATTACCTACTAGTTATTTTATTTGAAGAGTCAAAAGGAGATCACTGTTTAAATTCTTAATTTTATTTGATGTATTATATTTTTACGTAATTTTTAAATTTGTTACTTATTTTTATTTTTTAGAACTTAAAAATTGTATATTTTAATTGACACAGAAAAATTAAGTTGTTTGACCCTTGTGCTAGTCTATATAAGCATGTTTCCCGACCAACATATTGCAGCTTAAATTAGAACAATCTCCTTCATCAACAACTGGGCAATTCTGTTACATCTCTGCTGCTAGTTCTTCACTTATTCAGATTCTGCACACTTTATCAAGCTTAGTGTTGTACAATTCATACCGTTCTGGCCCTTTCAGTAGCAAAGCTAATCCTTTAATTTCAATTCAGCAGCAAGTTGATATTGGCGAATCAAGCCATGAATTTTCAGGAATTTGGAGCTGCATTTGATCCAATCGACATCCTTTCTAGTTGGAATATCTCTCAGCGTCAAGAAGCTGCGACGAGATTGGCTGCGGACTCTGTTGCTGCTAAATCAGGAGCAGGTTCAATTGGGGATTGTTCTAAACGTAAAATTGACTCCTCTTCTTCTAATTTTCCTCCAGGGAACAATTATTTGCCTTATTTCGGTAATAATCAAGTCCCAGTTTGTAGCCTAATGGCGGATCTTAGTTCTATTTCCTTATTCTCTAAAACCAAATCCCCTAATTGCTTGCTCTCTGCAACAAATACAAGCAACACCGACACATCAGGCGAATTAGATGATGTGATTTTTTCTGATGATTCTGAAAGCTTGTGGAATATCCACACTAGCAATGTAGTTTCATCTGGAGAATCTGCAATTGATGCCTACAAATCGAAACCCATTGATGCCGATGACAACAACGATATTCACTACTCTGTTAATCAGCTTCATGCAACAGTCTCGTGTAACAATTTGATAAGATCTTCAGAAGCAAAATATTACAATATGGACAAGAGAAGCCACGATGCTCTGCTCGAATCAGGTGAGAACACCTCTTGATTCTCTTTCGGCACACTTTTAATTGCTTAAATAAATAGTACATTAATTTCTCTTACACTATACGATTCAGGAGTAAAAAAAAAAAAACTTATTTGATCATGTTTTTTTTAAAAAAAAAGTATTTTGAATCAATTTATTAATTATGGTGACTTACTATATTATTTTCGTATATATAAATATTTATTGAGTCTTTGTCTGAATACAGCCTAAAAATTAAGTAATTTGACATTCGTGCGAGAAAAGTCGCCACTTAAAATGGAAAGGAAAGAATCTGTCCAGATAGGCCCCTCACTTGTCGGATTACTAATTTTGGATGACAGTGAGATTCGAGTTTAAGACCTCTAGCCAACTCTGCTACCATATTGAATCGTTAAAAGTTCTAATTCGTTATGAGAGTTGAGTGCAAGGCCTCTTTTGTCTGATTTAAAACTTTTTTTATGAAGAATATGATACACTTTCAAATACTTAATTATATTATGTCACAACAGATTCCTCGAACAGAGACTATGTAATCCAGCTCATTTCGGAAAATGATCAACCTAAGTCCAAGAAATCCAGATCAGAATACAAGCTTCCAAGTTCATCAAACATCAATTTCCAGCAAGCAAGTTCTTCGGCTTGTTCAATAGTTGATCGTGATTCAGAAGCAATTGCACAAATGAAGGAAATGATTTATCGCGCAGCAGCATTCAGGCCAGTGAGCTCTGTCACGGAAGATGTGATGGTAGAGAAGCCGAAGAGGAAGAACGTAAGAATATCAATGGATCCACAAACAGCTGCAGCGAGACGAAGGAGGGAAAAGATAAGCGAAAGAATAAGGATATTGCAGAAGTTGGTACCAGGAGGAAGCAATATGGACACTGCATCCATGCTTGATGAAGCTGCAAACTATCTCAAGTTCTTAAGGACACAAGTGAATGCCTTTGAATCCTTTGGCTTTAATATAGACCCAAGTATCACTAACAATAACTTTACTACTTCTTTATCTTCAATACCATTAATCAACTACCCATTTCCCTTGCAACCACATTTTCCTATGCAAAACCTCAATCCAGTCCATCACCCTAAGTGTTGATATACGAGATCCCGGGAAGAGTTTAATTAATATACGTTGGCAGTGTAAAAATAAAAACGTATTATCAGGTCAAATATACATGTTACAACAGGTAACATGTTCTATTATCTAGATCATAAATCTCATATATTAAGGAGGCTTACTTGTAGATATCATTTGCGCGACCTGATGGTGTATCATATTTTGATGTGATTACTACATTATATATTTAGTTTTGTGTTCACTGTATTTTGGGACTTCATTTAATATGAATATGTCAGCTAGCAAAGAAACATTTCTCTAAATACTTGTGGATTCGAATCACACTTACTCTAAACTAGTTTAAATACTAAAACTCATTCCTAGTTACTATTTTTTGGTTTTCTATCTGGTGTCTAGTCCAACTAAATTCAAAAGTATGACCCATTTCAAAGATTATTAGAAGCATGTTTTATGCAAAGACTAGAAGAAGAAAAAAAATTGAAACCAGAAGTGTACAAATTTTGTTGATGAAAGATGTGATGGTGGATGTTGGACTTTGACAATACATTAATGCTTGCTTTTGCAAGTTGTTTTTGGGATGGTACAGGAATTAACTTTGATTAGATAGAATAGGTTACTGATTTTTTTTGGCTAAAAATAGGAAATTCTGTTAAGAAATAAAGAAGTATTTGAATTCTTGGTTTATTGCTCTGCCAACTTGCTCTTTATTTTATTTTTTTTCAAGTGGACAGTGTCTAGAAAGTGATTTTGTGTGCGTGAAAAATTCAAAATCAACATATACATGGTCCGCTCTCATTTCTAAGAAGTATTTTCAGTAAGATTTCCAACACTATGACCTTATGAAATGGAAAAAAGGCATTGACTTTGGTTAATATAAAAATATGTTGCTTGTCTTAGCTGACATTTTCATTAACAAAGATTGTCAAGTGTCAAACATTCTTTGCAACTGTCTCTTGACAATTTTATTAAAAAATGCTTTCATTTGGCTGGCAATCGTTTTGATGCAGCGTAGCCCCACTTCTTTTTAAAATTATTTAGCCGTTGTCTATCTAGGAGGATCAACAGGAGCCATATGTTCTATTTTTCAACATTGAAATTTGTTGAATCTCAGAAATAATAAAAGGAGTGGAACATAGATAAGTAAATTCAACAAACTGTACAGTAAAACTCAAAATTAGCCTTAATTGAACTAGCTTTCATCCACATAGATGAGTAAATTCAACGAAATGTACAACAACAACACGCACACCCAAAAGTTCTCCATCTCGACCTTCAATTTCCTTGATGAATAATTCACTTTATTTCACTCCACCCCATGGTCAGATGCTGATTCATTTTCGGTTCTCTATCTTAAGTATCCGGTTTATATCCTCTTAGCTCTCTAAATATTTCGATAGCATTAATGAGTGGCGGAAGAGTTGAACTCTCAGTTTTGTTAATCAACACATCGTACCTCTCGATACCACTGCCTGGATTCACTGTGTACACTGTGGTCGTGGACAAATAGGCAGGAGACAGAGGTCCATAATAAAGGTTGTCATTGACATAAATACTAAATTCCCTCGTCTCTGTCTCTGATAATTTAACAACTTCAGCAAAGTGAAAGTATAAGTAGTACTTGTCCGTGGCATTAGTAGAGTACCAGAAAAAGGTCAAGGTATCGGGACTGGGATCAGTCTCCGGATCAGGTATCAACGCCGTGCTCATTACTGACAATGGTAATTGGAAAGTGTTCTGAAGTATTTCTTCTGTTGTATTAATAATTAATGTCCCCGGCAATTGAAATGGTCTCCAAACTCTATCCCATGCATCATTGCTGTACCTGCCAATAGTCACCAGATTCATATGAGCTACTGAGGAGTAAGCAATGATTTCTTAAGATCGATCTGCCTTAAAGTGGTCGAGGAAGTATATATTATTATGTGATTAAAAAGAAAAACAATTAAGTGTTCACTAGAACATCTTGATCTTCAAGTTAAAATAGATTGAAATAATAAACGTATAGTACCTAACGTACTGATTGGTTAAGGAACCAAAGTCAAGACGGATAAAAAGTTCCATTGAACTGTTGAGTATTGCTTTGTATATGGTATTATTCAAAGGCCTTAACTCTAAGGCTGAAATGAAAGGAGTTGTTGTATCTAACTTGACAAGGCAAATATTTATAGAGGCATTAGAAGGGGTGTGTATAATTTCCTCTTGAATTGGTATAGAAGCATTATAAATTGAGATTGTGATCCAATATTTTTCTTCAATGTAAAGATCAAAATAGGGGAATCGATCATTTCCATTATCATAATCTCCGTAGAAAAAACTTGCCCTTATCAAGTATCTGCCAGAGTTTCCTTGAGCTGGAGTCAAAGTGTAGCAATTTTTGGTCCCTGTTGGAAAGCTTGTAACTGTGAGAAATTGTCTTTCTAGGGAATTGGATTGGTATTTTGATGATATGTTATTTTTCACCCCACCACTGACATAACCTACATCTGAAGTGTAAAATAGTCCTGTTGTTATATCTGTATAGTTTGAACGTGCTGGTATTCCACAATCTAGGCTTATGAATCCTGTAAAAGATGGACATAAAACAGAACATGAGCATTTAACTAGGTGTAGAAACACAGATGGATCTAGAATTTTAAATTTACTCATTTTTTTACCACAACCATTCAGAGTGTACTTAAAGTTTATGAGTTGTGAATTAGTAGGTTGTACATGTTGAATGTGTACTTGAGAGATATATGAAGTTTGAACCAAGTTAACAAGGTGGATCGAACCCATAGCTAATAAGATCTGAGTCAAAGTTATTGAGTTCTTTCGGACCCTGTGCAGCGTAAATTAAATGTATATACTACTAATTAGCATATACCTGTTTGGTTGTTTTGTGCAACAGCTATTGTTGCTAAAGAAAAAGCAATAAGCCAAACAAAGAGGAAGCCTTTCAACATCTGGATTAATCTGTTATCTTGAAGTTTTGACTTTTAGTTGTTTGAGTGAGAATAACTTTGAGGCTTTGCCTTATATATTCTACGCTGTTTCCAAGCGATTTGGTAAACGCCATCATGATATCAATTGCTGAGCAAGGTGAATGCAACACTTATATTATCTTAAAATGCTTGTGTCATGAAATGTGCTTTCAATTTTAATTGTTCAACCAGTTTACCTTGCTTTATTAGTTATATGATAACCGTTTAAACAAAGTTTAACAATAGGTTTTATTAGTTTATGTCCAAGATGTTATTCCACCAAAAATTGCAGGTTATAGAATTCAAAAATCATTTCAACTATAGATCATTATGGCTGTGATCTTGATTGCTCCCGTGTTGTACATATATCAATTCTTGGAATGAACAACTTAACCACTTCAATTATGAAGTTGTGGAGCTAGGGTACGGTTCAGCCGAATTCAGCAGGTTTTGCTAAATTATATCTGTGTGTTAAGAGATCCGTTAAATATGTAAAAATAAGAAGTTTAGTATCCGATTGTGAACACTTGAAGAGTCATTATAGAATCTAGAGTTGATAAAATTAAAATTCTAGCTCCGTCTTTGATTATTTATTTAAACTAGCTGATTTATCTGGATACTGACTATGCCTTGAAGGAATGTTGGACTCGTTCAAACTGATTTCAGTGAACATTATTTTTGGGCCACAATCATATTCTTAATTCCTTGAAAAATGAAATAAAAATATAATCCTATTACAATACGTTATCCAAGTCAACTCATTGTGGCTTTTGCTCATTCCAAAGGATAGCAATACAATATTTTCTAACGAACAAAAATATATGCATTATCGACAATTTGGTGTGAATGCCACTTCACTTCTCGCTATGTTGGAGATCAGCTATTTTAGTTGCCACATGTTCACTGCTATATAGAATTATTTATAGGACAAGGATAAAAATTATCCCTCAATTTTTGTTTAATAGATGTATTATACGTCCATTTATATCTCACCGTTACAAAACTTATAACCCGTATCTGTCAATTGGATCGAAAGCCCCAAAATGAAATTTGATGTCAGGGTGGGTAGTCTTTAATTTTTGTTGGTCCTATGAAGCTTACTAAATTGAGAGAGCTATCCCTAACTGATGTATTTTGAGAAGAAGGGACAATCTTGGAAATTTGTTCTACTTGTCCAGCGTTAGACATCTCATCCGGTGTCAAGGAGTATCTGATCTCCCTTAACTTCTAAAGCTTACAATACACCAAACAAAATGAAATAGGATATATACAAGCCTCGACCATTTGTTTCAAACAGACATGCTGACATTGGTAAATAAAAATATTTAACGAATGTGTGCATGTAATGTCAAAAATCCCATTGCACTTGAATCATATACCAGTTGCCAATGCAAAGTCTAAATGTAGCTATACGGTTCCACGTCCCATCAAACCATGCGTGGACATTCCATTTAAATCCAAAATCCACGAAATTATAGTCGAGCACAAGCCTTACACTACGATGACAGGACACCCTTCGTCAGAAATTACACTATATATATAATAAAATAATATTATAAATGGTTAAATATATATTTTGGGATATCCTAAAATTACAGTAATATATCGTAGCCTAGTTAGATTCTACAAAGCGTAGGTGTGTGCAACTCGGTGTGCGTGCAGGTTCGATTCAGAGACTTTTTAATCTTGTGGTTCTAAATTAAAGTTATGTCAAAATACCAAAATGGTCATTCTTTTTAAACTAAAGTTGAGTTGCCAATTGATTCGACTTTTGATTTTTTGCTTTTTTCTTAAAAATTTAAACAAAATTCAAAAGTAATTATTTAATTAAAATTTAATAAGCAAATCCTATTTATTCAATTTTTTCTATAAAGCTACTAAAAGTGATATAGACTCCATATAAAATTACTTTTAATAAACACGTTTAATTCTATTTTTTATTTTTTATGTTTCCTTGACTCCATATAAAATTACTTTTAATAAACTCGTTTAATTCAATTTTTTTTTTATATTTCCTTGCTAGTCATAAGTGGTTCGTGAAATCTTGAATCATATTGGATCTTCTCTTTATTTTTTCTTTGTCCATTCACATCCAATTAAATAAACATGAATATTAAAACTAAATATTATGTAGTTAATTTTAATTTTTTTAATCATTAATGTCACGTAATTTAATTTATAAATTTTTAATGCACACATTCGTTAAATATTTTTATTTACCTATTCAATTTTTGATACTTCTGGCTGTCCCATCACCTATAGCAACATTACAAACATAGAACCCGTTCTCCAAACTATCAGATCCTCACAAAAGTAATGTAAAATTAAAAAGGTGAACTCACAGATACGTTAGCATTAAAATGTATGTTTCCCCGTCGTATGGATGAGCAAATCCATGTGTATAGGCATACTAATCCAACAACATTAAAAACTACAAATCAAGATAAATATAATTACTAAAAATTGTAAATCAATTTGAACATAATTATTAAAAACTATAAATAAAGATGAACATTAGATCTACTTCATGCTTCAATTTAATTACTAGAAACTGCAAATCAGGATAAACATAATAACTTAGCAAATCAACATAAACATTGGAGCTAGGCAATCATAATTACTAGCCTTTCAAAATAATGAATGTTGGGTATTTATTCTGAATTTCTTATCAGATTTCCCTCTAAAATGAATGATATAAAATGAAGGAAGATTTCAATTGAGCAGTTAGAGATACTTATCAAAATATTCTAGAATGGTAAAAATATCAAAAATAATAACTGAGACTTCATTTGATTGAATTAATCAATTAAAGTATCTTTTTTTTACTTGTATATATTTTGTATTTCATTTAATTACAAAAATAGGTTTAAAGCACAGTTATTGTTAGACTTCAAAATACATTCAAAATTAAGACAAAGTCTTTTCAAATTTAATTATTTGACAATCTAATAAGTTTGAGCTTGAAATGTTAAGAAACGTCATCAAATTGAAGAACAACTTTTAAAATATAATTGATTCAAATTGAAGTGAACTAAACAAATTAATAAGTAGAAATGTCAGGCCTTGTTTTCTAGGTACCTAAAGCATTGCTTCTGTGGCTTTAGAGTTGAGCCACCCCTACTTATAATGTCCTAAGTGTTTAATGTTATTTTCTGTTTAGTATGTGATGCAGTGGCTACATGTCCACAGAAATTAGAATACTTGATCAATGGGAAAGAACACCCTGATTAGTAGCTGGTTTGAAGGTGAGTTATGTATATATTAAATTCTAAATAAGTGAATATTTTAAAATATTATCACTACGAAAAAAATAAAATTGGTCTTGGCGATTGACGAAATCCATGGCTAGAAAGAACTTGTTGATTTTCTTTGGGGGAAATGTTACTAAGAAAATGCAGAATGAACTCACCAAATTTATCGCTATTTTGAAGTAAATTTACAAAGTTATATGAATGAGCCATAAAGCAGTCACATGGGTCTCTAGTTATGCAAAATCATCTTCATCCTATAATTTGCATCTATGGTGAAATAATAAATATTCTTCCAATTAATGATCAAACTCACACAATAAACGTGAAGAATTGGAGCAATGCTCATTGAGTGAATTAACCCACTAGATTACATTTACACAAGTATTTATATTCAGCTGAAATAGTAACTAACTAACTACTTGCTAACAACTTTTCTAACTAACTAACTAATTTACAAATCAACCAATAGTAAACAATTAGTTAAAGTTTAATTAACAACCTAACTAAACAATCTAATAGTAAAATTAACCAACTCAAATACTCCTCCTCAAGCTGGATGCATTGAACAAGTTCAAGAATCCTAGCTTGCTAATTAAGGTCTCATGTTGAATCCTCCCTAGAGCCTTGGTCAGTACATCTGCTTGCTGATCTCTTGTATGTATATATGTAGGTCTGATTAGTCCTTGTTGCACCTTTTCTCTGATGAAGTGACAATCTATCTCAATATGTTTGGTCCGTTCGTGAAATACAGGATTAGCAGCAATTTGTATGGCTGCCTTGCTATCACAGAAAATGGTAGCTGGTCCTGTTAGTTTTACTTCCAATTCATGAAACAAATTGTTAACCCAAACAATCTCAGCAGTTAAGGTAGCCAAACTTCTATATTCTGCTTCAGCAGAACTTCTAGACACTGTGTTTTGCTTTTTTGACTTCCAAGATATTAAAGAATCACCAAACTTCAATATAAAACCAGTCACAGACCTTCTAGTATTTGGACATGCAGCCCAATCTGCATCACAAAATCCTGTAAGTTGAGATGTTGTATTTGCACTCATCAACAACCCTTTTCCTGGTTCAACTTTGATGTATCTAATCACCCCCAATGCTGCCTCCCAATGTGACCTTTTTGGCTTCTGCATAAACTGACTCAAAGACTGTACTGCAAATGCTATATCTGGTCTTGTATTAGTTAAGTACAACAGCTTCCCAACAAGCCTTTGGTATTTGTTAATATCTGTAAATAAGTCATCAGTAGTGACATTGCCTTCATCAAATTCCACACTAGTTAACTTCATGTTGCATTCTAGTGGTGTCATTACTGGTTTTGCAGCAGCTAACCCCACTTCAGAAATCATTTCTAGAGCAAACTTCCTCTGATTCATAACTATTCCTTTGTTGGATCTCAAAAATTCAATTCCCAGAAAATATTTCAATTCTCCTAAGTCTTTAATCTTGAAATGACTATGCAGTACATGTTTGGTTTCTTCTATCAAATTGGCATCATTTCCTGTTACCAAAATATCATCCACATAAACCAAAACAATGACAATTCCATCATCTCTTCTCTTGGTGAATAAAGAATAATTCAAGTGACTTTGTATATAACCTGAACTGCACAAGGCATTAGTCAATTTTGCATTCCATTGCCTAGATGCTTGTTTAAGACCATAAAGAGATTTAACTAACTTGCAGGCCATGTTTTCTTCCTTCATTTTAAATCCTTTAGGTAATTCCATGTATACTTCATCAAGCAAATCTCCTTGTAAGAAAGC